TCCGAAAGAAAACGAAGAGAATCCGAAATAAAAAGAGAATTCGACAAATTTCGAGATGAAATCTATTATTACCATTATTATAGGATCGGATAGAATTCGGAAGAATCCTTAAGAATCTGTCAATATACAAGAGAAGTCAAGGAAATTTGGGAGAATCCGGATGAATCAAAAAGAATTCGAGAAAATCTGACAAAAAGCGAAATTTAATATACAAATAATTCGAAAGAACCAGAGAAAATCCGACAGAATCCAAAAATTATCTCAGTGAATATAAGAGAATCCGGCTAAATCCCGAGAGGATAATAGACAGTCCCAAAAAATCTTAAAGAATCCAAGAGAATATAACAGAATCCGGATGAGTCTGAAAGAATCCAAGAAAATCCGACAGAATCTAGAAGTATCCGAGTGAATAAGGGAGAATCCGAAAACAATTGGAAATAATTCTTATACAATCCTAAATAATACACAAATAATCCGAAAGAATACAAGAGAATCTGAAAAGATCCTAGATCTGAGAGAATCTGAAAGAATACTAAAAAATCCGGAAACAATCTCAAAGAATATAAGAGAGTCCGAAAGAATATAGAGGAACATGAGTAAATCCTACTAAATTACAAGAGGATAAGAGAGAATTCGGAAGAACCTGAAGAATACGAGAGAATATGGAAGAATTCAAGAAAATTTGAGGGAATCTGGAAGTATACAAGTGAATCAGGGAGAATCCGAAAACAATTGGAAGGAATCGATAGAATTCATAATAATAATACTACACAAAGAATCCGAAAAAAACTTAGATTCGAGGGAATAAGAAGAGAATCCCAAAATAATTCTACAGAATACAAGAGAATATGTGACAATCCAAGACAATATGACGGAATCCTGACGAACCTGAATATGCAAAGAATCCGAACGAAAACGAGAGAATCCGAAGAAATTTGTAATCAGAGAATACGAAAGAATCCGAGAGGATACGGGAGAAACCGTCCAAATTTAGAGACGATCGGGGAGAATCGGGGAGTATGCAACAGAATCGGCAAGAATCCGAGCGAATCAAACAATTCGTAAGAATTCAACAGAATCCGAAATAATACACAAAATAGAATTTGAAAAAATCCGAGTTCCGGGAGATTTCGAAAGAATACGAAGAAAATCCGAAAAAAATTATACCTAAGAAAATTCGACGAATTTCGAGAGGATCGGGTAGAATCCGGAAAAATCCTTCATAATGTTTAATAATATTATTAATAATAATAATAATGATAATGTTTATTGACATCCAGCAGACCATTGGTCCAAATAGGACATAATATAATATAATGTATATAATCTGCGAATATACAAGAGAATTCAAGGGAATTTGGAAGAATCCGAAAGAATTCGAGAAAGTCTGACAGAAACCGAATTAATACGCAAAAAATCAGAAAGAATCCGAGGAAATCCGAAAATTATCTCAGTGAATATAAGAGAATCCGTCTAATCCCGAGAGGATACGAGAGAATCCAAGAGAATATAAAAGAATCCGAATGAGTCTGAAAGAATCCGAGAAAATCCCACAGAATCTTTAAGTATCCGAGTGAATCAGGGAAAATCTGAAAACAATTGGAGAGAAATCGACACAATCCTAAATAATACACAAAGAACCCGAAAGAAAATAAGAGAATCCAAAAGAATACAAGAGAATGTGAGAAAATGCTACCAAATTACAAGAGGATAAAAGAGAATTCGGAGGAATCCTGAAGAATACGGGAGAATATGGAAGAATTCGAGAAAATCCGAGAGAATCTGGAAGAATCCGAAAGCAATTGGAGAGAATCGATAGAATTCTAAATAATACGCAAAGAATTCGAAACAAATCTTAGATTCGACAGAATCCGAAAGAATACAAAAAGAATCCCAAAATAATTCTAAAGAATACAAGGGAATTCGAAGGAATGCAAGAGAATATGCGAGAATCCGATGGAAATTGACGGAATCCTGATGGACCTGAAAGAGTCCGAAAGAACCCGAGAAAATCTGTTAGGATTTTAAATAACATGCAAAGGATACGAGAGAATCCAAAAATTACAAATTCAAGAGAATCCGATAGAATACAAAAAACCGGCCAAATTCAGACAGGATCAGGGAGACTATGGGAGAAACGGAAAGAATGGGATATACTACGATAGATTCCAAGAAAATCTGGAAGAAACCGGGTCCATCAGAGAGAATCCTAAAATAATTCGAATGAAGTCGGGAGAATCTGAAATAATACACGAAGAATCCGAAAGAATACGAGATACGAGAGATTTCGAAAAAACACGAAGAGAATCCGAGACAATACGAGAGGAACAGGTCAAACACAGATAGGATCAGAGAATGAATAGAATATGAAAGAATACGAAAGAATCCGATGACCAATAGTGGATTCACGAGATTCTTTCAAACTACATTCTTCAAAAAATACATAAGAGGTCTCCGAGATTATTTCAAATTACTGCTTCAAAAGAATTCAAGGCAAGAATCCGGATAAAGTTGAAAGAATCCGAAAAAAACCGATATAATCTAGAAATATCCCAGTGAGAATCAGAAATCAATTAGAGAAAATTTGAGATTTAAATAATACGGAAAGACTCCGAACTAAAACGAGAGAATCCAAAGAAATTTGTGATCCGAGAATACGAAAGAATCCGAGAAGATACGAGAGAAACCGTCCAAATTTAGAGACGATCGGAAAGAATCAAACAACTCGAAAATAATTCGAAAGAATTCGGCAGAATCCGAAATAATCCGAGTTCCAGGAGATTCCGAAAGAAAACTACAAGAATCCGAAAAAAAAAGAGAATTCGAGAAAACAGAAACCGAAATTTAATTCGAAAGAATCAGAGGAAGACAGAAACCGAAAATTATCTCAGTGTATTAAGAGATTCCGGCTAAATCCCGAGAGGATAAGAGACAGTCCCAGAGGATCTTAAAGAATCCGAGAGAATACGAGAGAATCCAAGAGAATATAAAAGAATCCGGATGAGTTTGAAAGAATCCAAGAAAATCTGTTAGAATCTCAAATACTTAATATGCAAAGAATCCGAAAGAATACAAGAAACTATAAGAGAATCGACCAAATTCCGGGAGGATCGGGGAAAATCCGGAAGAATACGAAAGAATCCGAGAGGATGATAGAGAAACCGGCCAAATTCAGACAGAATCGGGGAGAATACGGAAGAAACGGAAAGAATGCGAGATACTAAGAGAGAATCTAGCAGAATCCGATACAATTCGAAACAGTCCAAGAAAATCCGAGAGAATGCGAGAGAAACAGATCAAATTCAGATAGGACCGGAGAGAATCCTTTAGAATCCTTAAAAATCCGGGAGAATGCAAGAGAATTTTAAACAATCCGATGAATGCGAATGGAGATCCGAAATCAAACTACTTCAAAAACTAAACAAAAAGCATTACCAAGATTTTTTCAAACTACTTCAAAAACCAGACACAATATTGTTTCAAATTAAATACTTAAAATATAAAATGCTTCAAAAACACAACAAAAAAGGTTCTCGAAATATGTAGCGACTTTCAAAACCATCTACTTCAAAACAGAGGGTGTGTTTAAATTCACATCATTCAAATACGGATTTTTCTCAGCGCGAAATTTTAATTCAAACTGGGACGTGAAAATTATTCTTTGAAAAACACCCTGTACAACTGCAAGGAAAGTCCCCTTTCACAATACTTCGTTACTAATTTCCGTACATCATTATTCATTGCAATAAAATACAGGTCAGTGTTCAGTGGGTTTACTACACCAGTGGTTTTGTTTTTATAGCATCAAATGCGATTCCAGCGACCATCAAACAAACCAACCACACTTAAAATTAGGCACCTTTTTTCTCCACTAGTTCAGATACTCTCATCAAACCGACATTAATGTCGCAATGTGTACATCTACAAAAGTAAAAGTAACTTTTGATTTCGCCAAGCCACGTTCTTAAATAATCTCTACAGCAAGTGTCGTTCATTGTTGAGAGTCGCTTTGTATACCTATTTCGCCACCGCATATTAATAAAATGTATTGTTTACCAACAATAAACTAACAAAACTGCTTACATTTATTATATAGTTGCGAATAAATTAAATTGCTTTTGATAATTGTGTTTGCTTAACTGCTTATGTTTGCAACCACAAATTATTTTTGAATTATCATCTCCGTATTTTAATAAATGTTTCCTGATTTATATCTGTTCGCGATGGAAATGAAACTTGTCATGGTAATGGGTACATGTTTCACAACCATGGTTGCGCAACCAATATAGTAACAAATACTTTAAAGTGATGAGTGTCAAAATGCGAAATAAATCGATGAATCGTTACATAATTTTTACTACGGATTCAAATGAGAAGGGACTAAGTAGGTCATTTTGGCTCGAAACAACAATAAATTTTATTTAAGAAAATTTTGTTACGGTAGTAAGAAGTCAAAAATATCAAGTTTTTGTAAATATGGTTATGCAAGCCCTGTAAACACCTATTAATATGTTTGTAAAGCCGCATGTGTTATTTGTTATTTCACAATGTTAACATCTTGAGTGACTGAAGTAACAAATTATTGTAATACTTTTTGTTATTGGTGGTGGCATGTTTAGTCTGAAATTAGAAACAAAGCAGTTACAACAGCCACACAGTTGTATTATTAGTGTTAGAACCAGGTAAGTTTTGAACAATTTTTGTGCCCTATTTTATTATTTTTTAAGAATTTGAAATGACGGCTCTGGACCGAGTGTCAACCAAGCTTGCCGAAACGTTGCCACACGCTCCAAAAACCACCCCAACACAACCCACTACTCAATTTTTCTGGAAAACTTATAAAACACCCCTTATTTGGATCAACGTCATCGGCATATTTTTAATCCACCTGACCGCTTTAATCGGATTCATCACATTCCCCTATTTATATCACAAGAAAACCTTCGTTTGGTGTAAACTCACCACCCTTATTTACGTTTTTTACTCTTGGTAAATTTCAGGTTTCTTTGTTGGTTGGGCCGGAGGTTTTGGGGTCACAGCCGGAGCTCACAGACTCTGGAGCCACAAATCGTACAAAGCCAAACTCCCTCTGAGGATAATACTAATCCTAACTTATGCAACAGCGGGACAAGTGGGTATTTTTTTTGTGAACCATGGACAATTTTTTTTGTGGTATTTTAGAACAGATTACGTGAATGGGTAAGGGACCACCGAGGCCACCACAAATTCAGTGAAACCGACGCTGACCCACATAACGCCAACAGAGGGTTCTTTTTTGCTCACGTGGGGTGGTTAATGATGAAAAAGCACCCTGAAGTTTTAAAAAAAGGGAAACAGATTGACTGTAGTGACTTGTTCGAAGATTCCGTTGTAGTATTTTTTGAAAAGTGAGTAGGTAAAGTACGAAAAACACAAAATAGTTGTTCGTGTTTTAGGTACTTCTGGCCTTTGAAGCTGTTCTTTTGCTTTATTTTTCCAACTGCAGTGCCGTATTTAGTGTGGAATGAGAGTCTTTATTGGTCTGTCATGAGCACGATCGCTAGATATGTGTCTGGGTTAAATTTCACGTGGCTGGTTAACTCTGCAGCTCATATGTTTGGCAACAAACCGTATAATAGGTAGGCGGAAATAAAACACGACAAAAGGGCCAGCATCTGCGTTGAACATTCTACCTTAATATAATTATTTTAGAAAAATTCAACCAGCAGAGAATTTACTGGTATCCTTGTTGGCGATGGGGGAAGGGTGGCACAATTACCACCACACGTTCCCGTGGGACTATAAGGCGGCCGAACTGGGAAACTATCGCGTAAATGGGACAACTCTCCTCCTGGACGCATTCGCCAAAATTGGGTGGGCCTACGACCTAAAAAGCCCATCCAGAGAATTAGTACAAAAGGTCATATTAAATAATGGTGATGGTAGCCATAGATAAGTTCCTATAAAAAAAAGACAACAAATTTTGTTTAGCTAGAACTTATTTTTGTTATTCATGTTAATCAGTTTTTTACCTTATTTAGATAATAAATAAAAAGTAGTTTATATTCACGTACTTGCACGACGTGCATACTAAAAACAGCGTTAGTTTATCAAAGTTATAATTGGCAAAAAACTTATCACTCAGTTTGTTTTCTAAAATGTTGTTCAAGTCATTTGTATACAAAACCTGCTTTATTAATTTTTATACACAAAAGGCACTACATTGTATGCAAAAAAAAACCTTTGCATACCCAAATGTACATAATTTCGTAAAAAAATTTAAGAATTGCAAATACTATACAATAAAAAATGATTAAAGCCGCTTTTTTTTGTTGTTTAGGTACTTATTTACATTATTAAAGTATTCAGGGGCCATCGAATAATGAACTCAAAATTAAAATTGTGTGGAAATTATGTGTCTGGCTTTTAAAAAGTTGGGCTACCTTGAACCGTTTCATTTCATTGTGATGAAAAACAACGTGACCTTCTCTAAGCAAAGGGTAAGTATAAGTTTGAAATTACAATTTATTTACTTATCTAGACGGGTAACGAACAATGAAAACTAAAAATCATAGAAAGTACAAAAACTATAAGTATCTATCGAGATTAAAAAATCCGAAGTATGTATAAGTTCAAGGTTGTAAGCTTTATCGGAATTTTGTTAATAATAATGAGCTGAAGTGGCACTTGAACATTTAAAATACCCTGCACACATCTCAAAGTGCGCCAATATTACGGAAGTACGAGTCACTTTTTCGGTAAATTTATTAAATAATAACAACATTCCAGCGGAAATGGCCTATTCAAGTACCCTTTGTTGCGATTATTGATGAAATTTGTATTTGTCGCGTGTTTTCAGTGGTGAAACTATCAGCTGGACTTTGGAATTATCACGAGTATTATTTTTGGCCATATCTGCAAGCACATGGACGAGATTTGATCGATTGTTGTGATTAAACACTTGATGTAAGTGTCGGGGGCAAAGTCCACGTTAAGATAGGTCCGAAAGCTTCCAAAAGTGGTTTCTCTGTTGCGTTTTTAGAACTGGAGCAGGATCACGACATGAGTTACACTAAAAGTATTGATTAATGGTCTCATTCTTTCTCTGATTTAATTTCCTTTATCTTTTGTGGATCTTCCTTCATTACACTTTTTTAGTATTTGCATTTATATACATTTCTTGACGAAGTGGCTCAAAAAAATTAATGAATGAGTCAATTTATTTTATTGATTAAATCAGGAACGGCTCACTCCATTTTCCCAGAAAATTTTGGAAATACAATACTGTTATTTCCCAATTTCCATTTTACACTAAAAATATAAGTCAGTAATGGAGAAAGGAGGTGGGGGCCCCGCCCACCCACCCTTTTTTTTAGAGGATATATCATTTACCAAATTCAGTCGAATTCGAAAGGAATCCAAAAAAAAACGTAAATAATACGAGAGAATGCAACACCATCCGAAAGAATTTGAAAAAATCCAAAATTATCCTAAAGAATTAGACAGAATCCGAAATAATACCTAAGGAATTCTAAAGAACACGAAAGAATCCGAAAAAATCCAAAATCAGAGAGAGATTCCGATCAAATTCCGAGAAAATCTGAGAGAATTTTTGGAAAAAAATCAAAATTATGAAACATTTTCCAATTTAAATTTAAATCTGCAAAACGGAATGCTTTGAAATCTTGCAGATATTTTAAGCTTTTCGTAAGTATGGTAAATTTTTTATCAAAATGTATTTGCTCATCCCCCCCAAAAAAATGATGACGTCACCTCAAAATTTCGGTCCCAGCAACTCCATGAAATATTTTTTCCATTTCTGTATACCAATTTTTTCGCTTAAGTTTTGTCTAGTTTTATTAATGTAATATCACACCCCTTTCTCTGATTTAATTTCCTTTATCTTTTGTCGGTCTTCCTTCCTTACACTTTTTTAGTATTTGCATTTATTTCTATATATTTCTTGACGAAGTGGCTCAAAAAAATTAATGAATGAGTCAATTTATTTTATTGATTAAATCAGGAACGGCTCACTCCATTTTCCCAGAAAATTTTGGAAATACAATACTGTTAATTCTCAATTTCCATTTTACACTAAAAAAATAAGTCAGTGAAGTGGAGAAAGGAGGTGGGCGGGGCTAAATTTAGCTTTTTTCTAGTTTTATGTACAGTCCTATATTAGCAAGGTTAGCCCCGCCCACCCACCCTTTTTTTTTTAGAGGATATATCATTTACCAAATTCAGTCGAGTTCGAAAGGAATCCAAAAAAAAAACTGAAATAATACGAGAGAATGCAACACCATCCGAAAGAATTTGAAAAAATCCGAAATTATCCTAAAGAATTAGACAGAATCCGAAATAATACATAAGGAATTCTAGAGAACACAAAAGAATCCGAAAAAATCCAAAATCAGAGAGAGATTCCGATCAAATTCCGAGAAAATCTGAGAGAATTTTTGGAAAAAAAAATCTAAATTATGAAATATTTTCCAATTTAAATTTAAATCTGCAAAACGGAATGCTTTGAAATCTTGCAGATATTTTAAACTTTTCATAAGTATGGTAATTTTTTTATCAAAATGTATTTGCTCATCCCCCCAAAAAAATTTATGACGTCACCTCAAAATTTCGGTCTCAGCAACTCCATGAAATATTTTTTCCATCTCTGTATCCCAATTTTTTCGCTTAAGGTTTGTTTAGTTTTATTAATGTAATATCACACTTCTTTTTCTGATTTAATTTCCTTTATCTTTTGTGGGTCTTCCTTCATTACACTTTTTTAGTATTTGCATATATTTCTATATATTTCTTGACGAAATGGCTCAAAAAAATTAATGGATGAGTCAATTTATTTTATTGATTAAATCAGGAACGGCTCACTCCATTTTCACAGAAAATTTGGAAATACAATACTGTTATTTCTCAATTTCCATTTTACACTAAAAAAATAAGTCAGTGAAATGGAGAAAGGAGGTGGGCGGGGCTAAATTTAGCTTTTTTCTAGTTTTATGTACAGTCCTATATTAGCAAGGTTAGCCCCGCCCACCCACCCTTTTTTTTTTAGAGGATATATCATTTACCAAATTCAGTCGAGTTCGAAAGGAATCCAAAAAAAAAACTGAAATAATACGAGAGAATGCAACACCATCCGAAAGAATTTGAAAAAATCCGAAATTATCCTAAAGAATTAGACAGAATCCGAAATAATACATAAGGAATTCTAGAGAACACAAAAGAATCCGAAAAAATCCAAAATCAGAGAGAGATTCCGATCAAATTCCGAGAAAATCTGAGAGAATTTTTGGAAAAAAAAATCTAAATTATGAAATATTTTCCAATTTAAATTTAAATCTGCAAAACGGAATGCTTTGAAATCTTGCAGATATTTTAAACTTTTCATAAGTATGGTAATTTTTTTATCAAAATGTATTTGCTCATCCCCCCAAAAAAATTTATGACGTCACCTCAAAATTTCGGTCTCAGCAACTCCATGAAATATTTTTTCCATCTCTGTATCCCAATTTTTTCGCTTAAGGTTTGTTTAGTTTTATTAATGTAATATCACACTTCTTTTTCTGATTTAATTTCCTTTATCTTTTGTGGGTCTTTCTTCATTACACTTTTTTAGTACAGTATAACTTCTATAATCCGAACCCACGATTATCCGAACATCCAGTAATCCGAACAGAGACTAGTTGAAGTCGATGTCTGTTTAATCCAAACAAAACTCTGCAATCCGAACTAAACTTGAAAACATGCACCTATTGAATTTTCTGAAATTTTAAAAAATTGCGATATTTCAAATGCACTGAATTAATTAACTAATTTTGGAAAAAAGGTTGAATTTATCGAAGAAATGAGGCTGGAAATGGCTTCTACGGCCCGAAATCTACAAGAAAAAGTGTTTAGTTAAATTTCGAAAATCGTCATAAATGGGTCGAAATTTGTATGAGGAAAAATTTCATTTTTGAAATGGTGATCTAAAAATTCTGAAAAACTTCAGGGTTATGTATCCCAAGCTGCTGATTCCAAAAATATAGCGAGTTTATGGTCACGGAGCAACATTTTCGGAAGAATCGCTATTATTTGCGAATTTTTGATAATTTCAAAAAATTTCGATATTCCAACGTTCGGTTCTGGAAAAACGGTTACACTTATCAAAGAAACGATGCCAGAAGTCAGTTCTAGAGCTCGAAATCTACAAGAGAATGTATTTAGTTAAGTTTCGAAAATGTCAAAATTTGGCCGAAATTTGAAGAAGGGTGACCACTGAAAAAATTTCACTTTTAAAAAAGTTGCGAAAAAATTCAGAGACGTGGATATCGACATGCTGATTTTAAAAATGTAGAATGTTGATGGTCACGGCGCAACATTTTCGGAAGAATCGCTATTATTTGCGAATTTTTGAAAATTTCAAAAAATTTCGATATTCCAACGTTCGGTTCTGGAAAAACGGTTACACTTATCAAAGAAACGATGCCAGAAGTCAGTTCTAGAGCTCGAAATCTACAAGAGAATGTATTTAGTTAAGTTTCGAAAATGTCAAAATTTGGCCGAAATTTGAAGAAGTGGGACCACTGAAAGAATTTCACTTTTAAAAAAGTTGCGAAAAAATTCAGAGACGTGGATATAGACATGCATTAAATCGGATTATCGAGGTTCTACTGTATTTGCATTTAATGCATTTAAAATGTCAAAATTTGACTGAATTTTGAAGAAGGGGGGACCATTGAAAGAAATTTCACTTTAAAAAAAGTTGTCTAAAAATTGCGAAAAAATTCAGAGACGTAGATCTCGATATGCTGATTCCAAAAGTATAGTGTGTTTATGGTCACGGAGCAACATTTTTGACAGAATCGGTACGAAATGTGAATTTTTGAAAATTTCTGAAAATTTCGATCGAAGTCAGTTCTAGAGCTTGAAATCTACAAGAGAATGTATTTTCCCCAATTAAATCGGATTATCGAGGTTCTACTCTATTTGCATTTAAATATTTCTATATATTTCTTGACGAAATGGCTCAAAAAAATTAATGAATGAGTCAATTTATTTTATTGATTAAATGAGGAACGGTTCACTCCACTTTCCCAGAAAATTTTGAAAATACAATACCGTTATTTTTTAATATCCATTTTACACTAAATAAAATAAGTCAGTAAAATGGAGAAAGGAGGTGGGCGGGGCTAAATTTAGCGTTTTTCTAGTTTTATGTTCAGTCCTATATTAGCAAGTTTTAGCCCCGCCCACCACCCTTTTTTTCTTAGAGGATATGTCATTTACCAAAATCAGTCTTGTCTTAGCAGATACTAGCCCCGCCCTCACACGCTGTTCTCATTCTAAAGATTTTATTTCTCTTCAATTGAGATCCACCTTTCATTCACTAGACAAATTCAGAGAGGATAGGGGAGAATCCGAAAAAATACAAAAGAATCCGAGAAGAATACGAGAGAATGCAACACAATCCGAAAGAATTTGAAAAATCCGAAATTATCCGAAAGAATTAGACAGAATCCGAAAAACCCTAAAATCAGAAAAAGATTCCAATCAAATTCCGAGAAAATCTGAGAAAATCCGGAAGAATACGACGAATCTAAGAGGATACGAAAGGAACCGGCCAAATTCGTATAGGATCGGAAAGAATCCGGAATAATCTTACGAATTTAGGAGGCATATAAAAAAGCCCGAAAGAATTTGAAAAAATCTGGATGAATGCGAAGAATCCAAGGAAATCTTACAAGAATCAGAGAGAATTCGAAAGTAATTCTGAAGAATTCAACAGAATCCGAAAAAATACGCAAACAATCAGAAAGAATACGAAGAGAGTCCTAAAAGAATCCCAAAGAATGTAAGAGAATCCGGAAGAATACAAGAGAATTTGAAAGAATCCGACAGATTCTGTAAGTTACCGAGCAAGAATGCGACAATTGGAGAGAATTTGACACTTAAATAATATGCAAAGTATGTGAACGAATACGACAAAATCCGAATAAATTCGTGATCCGAGAGAATTCGAAAGAATGGAAGAAAATATAAAAGACTTCACCAAATTTCGAGAGAGTCGGGAAGAATCCGAAAGAAATGGAAAAAGTGTGCAGAAGTATTCGAAAGAGTCTGAGTGAATCTGAGAATTCGGAAATAATTCGAAAGAATTCCACATAATGATATATTATAATATACAAAGAGTTCAAAATAATACGAGAGAATCCGAAAAAATCCAAGTCCCGAGAGTTTCCGAAAGAATATTAAGATAATCTAAAAAGAATCTCAAAGAATACACGATAATATGAGACAATTAGACCAAATTCTGAAAGGATTAGAAAGAATCCGGAAGAATCCTAAAGAATCAGCGAATATACAAAAGAATCCGAAACAGTTTGGAAGAATCCGGATGAATCCGAAAGAATCCAAGAAAATTGACAGAATCCGGAAGAAGTTTAACTTTAATAAAGAATCTTTTAAAAGCACGCAATTGAGATCCACCTTTCATTCGAACTAGATAAAATGAATCACCGAAATGGAGGCGGGGTGGGTGGGCGGGGTGAATTATATGTTCTTTTGTAAAGTAAGAATGGGAAGTAATAGAACGAAGGGTGCTAAAACAAGCGTTAATCATAACTTATTTACTACATTTATTTCTTATTTCAGAAGAAAAAAATGAGATAACGGGTGGGTGGGCGGTACTAAGTGTAACTTTTTCCTACAGAACCTTTAAGAAGCAAGCATTATCCCCGCCCACCCACCCACTCTCCATTCCAATGATTACCCTTAATATTGTTCAGTCATTTACCAAAAGCAGACTTATTTTAACAAATACTAGCTTATGACCACCCGCCCCCTATATTCTTATGGGGTATGTAACTTGCCACAAACAGTCTTATCTTAGCAAGTACTAGACTGCACCAATCCAAATTCATATACGTCCTTGCAAAAACATTGATGAGGTCATCACAAAATTTTGTATTGGAAAAACTCACTTGAAACAAACGCATAGCACGTTTCATTATATTTACTTCAATATTACATACATATCTTTATTTTAACTTATAAGGGTTATCATAAAAAAATTAAATTCGCAAAATCAAAAAGGGCGAGCCAAGTTCCGTCGAAGTAACTTTAAACCATTTTTTTTTAGAACTGGAATAGGATCACGACATAGGTCGCCACGGCAGCTACCATCTGAAAGCACCCATTTTTACAAATCTCGCAAAAGACGTACGTACCAAATGGCAGAAGGTTTCGTCGAGTTTGAAAAAATTTCTGGCTGTGAAATGTAACTTGTGGTTGAGCAACCTGAGCGAAATAAGTTCGAGGCTACGCACTGTTTTCAAGTCCACGTTCATTGTTTTGTGATATCGATTCCAGACGTCGTGTACGAACTCAGCTGTTTGGTTTGCCTAGAAAAAAATCTAAAAAAGTGACAATAAAAAAATGTTTAGATATACTTCGTTCTGTGTGCTGCTATACATTCGAACCATCAACGAAAACCATAAGAAATAAATGAGTGTATTGACGGCAGTAAACACTAGTGCTGTTATTGTGATTGTAGTCTCCACCCATAAATTATGCATCAAGACGTAGACAGCGTCGATGACAGACACTAGCCAAGTTATCATTGAACTAATAGTAACAATGTCGAAAAGTTTGTTAAAGTCGGTGGCCAAAGAAACTAAGTCACCGTGGTGAAGAGTCAGTTCGTCAGTTCTACACAACATGCTGTATATTTCTTGTTGATTCAAATTTACCAGATCTCTGACAGCGCGTCTTTCTAGTTCCTTGTTAATTTTGATAAACTCCAAACGAATGGATTTCAAAATCTCGTCTAAAAATAAGTGAGCACAGAGGCCTATTGTGGATGGCATAAAATAATATACACTAGAAACCAAAAAATCAGGAAAAATTATAACATAGACAAAGTGTAGAACTGCTATTACGAAAATGCAAATTTTCGACAGTTGTTTTCATTATTTTGTGCCTCATACGATTTTGTTTTGACTGCATTTAATTTTAAAAGTAAAATTTGGAGCTTATTGCTTCGTAGTGTTAAGATCAGCAGTGATGCTAAAGTTAACGGAATATCTATGATAGATATTATGGCATCTACTTTGTCTGGTGTTGAATCAGCTGTACTGATATAAAGGGACAACCATGAGTAACAACAGTAGCTATAAAGAACTAGAACTGGTGTACAGTAAAGACGATAAACATAGGAATAGAAGGATTTTGGGGGAACATTACACGAAAACTGAATAACACCATACAGACGAAAGAATGTTCTCAGCAACAGTGGAATATCTTCTACCAGACACATCAATAATACATATAATTAGAGTGAGAGTATCTGTGTCGTATGAGTTAGAGTAAAAGTATTGATTAATTGTCTCATACTGAATTAGGTTACTTTATGAAAGGTACTTTAATTATTAATGTTAGATGTTTACGGTCGTTGAAGCTTAATGTAGGAGAAATGATTACACTCTCATATTACTTCAATCAATCAAGTTTTATTTGTGTTCCTTAGATATTTATCGTTGTGCCTAGAATTTCTTATTTCTCCTCTACCATCCTGCTTCTGTGTATCAAAGTCTCTACAGAGCTCCTGCCACATCTGTTTTCCTTGACTTTACTCAGCTCCACTTTGTAATTTTCGTATTTTTGTTTTATTTCAGTCGTTTCTTGGTTTCTTATACCTTTTATCCATTTTTTGCTCGTTCCCAGCAACTCCACGAAATATTTTTTCCATTTCTGTATCCCAATTTTTTCGCTTAAGGTTTCTCTAGTTTTATTAATGTAATATCACACTTCTTTCTCTGACTTAATTTCCTTTATCTTTTGTGGGTCCTCCTTCATTAGTTCATTACACTTTTTTAGTATTTGCATTTATTTCTATACATTTCTTGACGAAGTGGCTCAAAAAAATTAATGAATGAGTCAATTTATTTTACTGATTAAATCAGGATCGGCTCCCATTTTCCCAGAAAATTTTGGAAATACAATACTGTTATTTCTCAATTTCCATTTTACACAAAAAAAATAAGTCAGTGAAATGGAGAAATGAGGTGGGCGGAGCTAAATTTAGCTTTTTTCTAGTTTTATGTACAGTCCTATATTAGCAAGGTTAGCCCCGCCCACCCACCCTTTTTTTTTTAGAGGATATATCGTTTACCAAATTCAGTCGAGTTCGAAAGAAATAAAAAAAAAAACCGAAATAATACGAGAAAATGCAACACCATCCGAAAGAATTTGAAAAAATCCGAAATTATCCTAAAGAATTAGACAGAATCCGAAATAATACATAAGGAGTTCTAAAGAACACAAAAGAATCCGAAAAAATCCAAAATCAGAGAGAGATTCCGATCAAATTCCGAGAAAATCTGAGAGAATTTTTGGAAAAAAAATCTAAATTATGAAACATTTTCCAATTTAAATTTAAATCTGCAAAACGGAATGCTTTGAAATTTTGCAGATATTTTAAACTTTTCATAAGTATGGTAAATTTTTTATCAAAATGTATTTGCTCATCCCCCCAAAAAAATTGATGACGTCACCTCAAAATTTCCGTCCCAGCAACTCCATGAAATATTTTTTCCATTTCTGTATCGCAATTTTTTCGCTTAAGATTTGTCTAGTTTTATTAATGTAATATCACACTTCTTTCTCTGATTTAATTTCCTTTATCTTTTGTGGGTCTTCCTTCATTACAATTTTTTGTATTTGCATTTATTTCTATATATTTCTTGACGAAATGGATCATAAAAATTAATGAATGAGTCAATTTATTTTATTGATTAAATCAGGAACGGCTCACTCCATTTTCCCAGAAAATTTTGGAAATACAATACTGTTATTTCTCAATTTCCATTTTACACTAAAAAAATAAGTCAATGAAATGGAGAAAGGAGGTGGGAGGACTAAATTTAGCTTTTTTCTAGTTTTATGTACAGTCCTATATTAGCAAGGATAGCCCCGCTCACCCACCCTTTTTTTTTTTAGAGAACATATCATTTACCAAATTCAGTCAAGTTCGAAAGGAATCCAAAAAAAAAAACGTAAATAATACGAGAGAATGCAACACCATCCGAAAGAATTCGAAAAAATCCAAAATTATCCTAAAGAATTAGACAGAATCCGAAATAATACATGAGGAATTCTAAAGAACACAAAAGAATCCGAAAAGATCCAAAATCACAAAGAGATTCCGATCAAATTCCGAGAAAATCTGAGAGAATTTTTGGAAAAAAAATCAAAATTATGAAACATTTTCCAATTTAAATTTAAATCTGCAAAGCGGAATGCTTTGAAATCTTTCAGATATTTTAAACTTTTCATAAGTATGGTAAATTTTTTATCAAAATGTATTTGCTCATCCCCCAAAAAAATTGATGACGTCAGCTCAAAATTTCGGTCCCAGCAACTCCATGAAATATTTTTTCCATTTCTGTGTCCCAATTTTTCCGTTTAAGGTTTGTCTAGTTTTATTAATGTAATATCACACTTCTTTCTCTGATTTAATTTCCTTTATCTTTTGTGGGTCTTCCTTCATTACACTTTTTTAGTATTTGCATTTATTTCTATATATTTCTTGACGAAGTGGCTCAAAAAAATTAATGAATGAGTCAATTTATTTTATTGATTAAATCAGGAACGGCTCACTCCATTTTTCCAGAAAATTTTGGAAATACAATACTGTTATTTCTCAATTTCCATTTTACACTAAAAAAATAAGTCAGTGAAATGAAGAAACGAGGTGGGCGGGGATAAATTTAACTTTTTCCTAGTTTTATGTGCAGTCCTATATTAGCAAGGTTAGCCCCGCCCACCCACCCTTTTTTTTTAGAGGATATATCATATACCAAATTCAGTCGAATTCGAAAGAAACCCAAAAAAAAAAATGGAAATAATGCGAGAGAATGCAACACCATCCGAAAGAATTTGAAAAAATCCGAAATTGTCCTAAAGAATTAGACAGAATCCGAAATAATACACAAGGAATTCTAAAGAACACAAAAGAATCCGAAAAAATCCAAAATCAGAAAGAGATTCCGATCAAATTCCGAGAAAATGTGAGAGAACATTTGGAAAAAAAATTAAAATTATGAAACATTTTCCAATTTAAATTTAAATCTGCAAAACGGAATGCTTTGAAATCTTGCAGATATTTTAAACTTTTCATAAGTATGGTAAATTTTTTATCAAAATGTATTTGCTCATCCCCCCAAAAAAATTGATGACGTCACATCAAAATTTCAGTCCCAGCAAATCCATGAAATATTTTTTCCATTTCTGTATCCCAATTTTTTCGCTTAAGGTTTCTCTAGTTTTATTAATGTAATATCACTCTTCTTTCTCTGATTTAATTTCCTTTATCTATTGTGGATCTTCCTTCATTACACTTTTTTAGTATTTGCATTTATATACATTTCTTGACGAAGTGGCTCAAAAAAATTAATGAATGAGACAATTTATTTTATTGATTAAATCAGGAACGGCTCACTCCATTTTCCTAGAAAATTTTGGAAATACAATACTGTTATTTCTCAATTTCCATTTTACACTAAATAAAATAAGTCAGTGAAATAGAGAAAGCAGGTGGGCGGGGCTAAATTTAGCTTTTTTCTAGTTTTATGTACAGTCCTATATTAGCAAGGTTAGCCCCGCCCACCCACCCTTTTTTTTAGAAAATATATCGTTTACCAAATTCAGTCGAGTTCGAAAGGAATAAAAAAAAAACGGAAATAATACGAGAAAATGCAACACCATCCGAAAGAATTTGAAAAAATCCGAAATTATCCTAAAGAATTAGACAGAATCCGAAATAATACATAAGGGATTCTAAAGAACACAAAAGAATCCGAAAAAATTAAAAATCAGAAAGAGATTCCGATCAAATTCCGAGAAAATCTGAGAGAATTTTTGGAAAAAAAATCAAAATTATGAAACATTTTCCAATTTAAATTTAAATCTGCAAAACGGAATGCTTTGAAATCTTGCAGATATTTTAAACTTTTCATAAGTATGATAATTTTTTTATCAAAATGTATTTGCTCATCCTCCCAAAAAAATGGATGACGTCAACTCAAAATTTCGGTCCCAGCAACTCCATGAAATATTTTTTCCATCTCTGTATCCCAATTTTTTCGCTTAAGGTTTGTCTAGTTTTATTAATGTAATATCACACTTCTTTCTCTGATTTAATTTCCTTTATCTTTTGTGGGTCTTCGTTCATTACACTTTTTTAGTATTTGCATTTATTTCTATATATTTCTTGACGAAATGTCTCAAAAAAATTATTGAATGAGTCAGTTTATTTTATTGATTAAATCAGGAACGGCTCACTCCATTTTCCCAGAAAATTTTGAAAATACAATACTGTTATTTCTCAATTTCCATTTTACACTAAAAAAAGTAAGTCAGTGAAATGGAGAAAGAAGGTGGGCGGGGCTAAATTTATCTTTTTCTAGTTTTATGTACAGCCTTATATTAGCAAGGTTAGCCCCGCCCACCCACCCTTTTTTTTAGAGGATATATCATTTACCAAGTTCAGTCGAGTTCGAAAGAAATAAAAAAAAAACGGAAATAATACGAGAGAATGCAACACCATCCGAAAGAATTTGAAAAAATCCGAAATTATCCTAAAGAATTAGACAGAATCCGAAATAATACATAAGGGATTCTAAAGAACACAAAAGAATCCGAAAAAATCCAAAATCAGAGAGAGATTCCGATCAAATTCCGAGAAAATCTGAGAGAATTTTTGGAAAAAAAATCTAAATTATGAAACATTTTCCAATTTAAATTTAAATCTGCAAAACGGAATGCTTTGAAATCTTGCAGATATTTTAAACTTTTCATAAGTATGGTAAATTTTTTATCAAAATGTATTTGCTCATCCCCCAAAAAAATAGATGACGTCACCTCAAAATTTCGGTCCCAGCAACTCCATGAAATATTTTTTCCATCTCTGTATCCCAATTTTTTCGCTTAAGGTTTCTCTAGTTTTATTAATGTAATATCACGCTTCTTTCTCTGATTTAATTTCCTTTATCTTTTGTGGGTCTTCCTTCATTACACTTTTTTAGGACAGTATAACCTCTATAATCCGAACCCACGATTATCCGAACATCCAGTAATCCGAACAGAGACTAGTTGGAGTCGATGTCTGTTTAATCCGAACAAAACTCTGCAATCCGAACTAAACTTGAAAACATGCACCTATTGAATTTTCTGAAATTTTTAAAAATTGCGAAATTTCAAATGCACTGAATTAATTAACTAATTCTGGAAAAAAGTTTGAAGTTATCGAAGAAATGAGGCTGGAAGTGGCTTCTACGGCCCGAAATCTACAAGAAAAAGTGTTTAGTTAAATTTCGAAAATCGTCATAAATGGGTCGAAATTTGTATGAGGAAAAATTTCATTTTTGAAATGGTTATCTAAATATTCTGAAAAACTTCAGGGTTATGTATCCCAAGCTGCTGATTCCAAAACTATAGCGAGTTTATGGTCACGGAGCAACATTTTCGAAAGAATCGGTACGAAACGCGAATTTTTGAAAATTTTGATATTTTTGAACGTTCGATTCCGGAAAAACGGTTGCAGTTATCAAAGAA